TATTATTTCCTATAACTCAAACAATATCTCGCGTTCTAATACGCAATTTATATTATACCTAANCCTGCATTTTCTCACGCCCCTGTAGCAAATTTTGAAATGTATTTTATGAGACTTATTAAGCACGTCAAGGTTAATATCTCACCAAAATTTCGTGACTTAATGTCGAGCCGTTTGGATGTTACGCATTAAAAACTGTTTCCGAGGTTACTCCTTTAGGAGAGCGTAGCTCCCTTAGGAGCCGCCACTGACAAAAATTGTACTAAAGTTTTCGTCATTTTTCGACTTGTTTTACAAGCTCAGAAATTTTGAATACTTATTTCAGTTACACCTTGTATAAAGCTAGTCAATTTTGACAGAATAATTTGATATACCTACATATAATGAATATATAATAATTATTTCTCGTATACGTTAATTAACTTCATATATTATATTTTACGTACATAGAAACGAAATTTTCAACCGTAAAGTCCTGAGGCTGTCGTGATAAAGACGAAACGTCGACGATGTGTAATAGTATGGGTTTTAACACCAGTTTTTTGTTGTTTTTTTATTGCTATTTTAAATTAAAATAAAATGTAGGTACTAGTACTGTAATTGTTGTAAACCTATTTTTGGGCAATTTTCTCCAGTGCCTAGCACATTCTCTATACTGAACTAGAGTATTTTTTGTCTTTTGAAATTCTCTTTCAGAAAAATATATTCTCTCATGAGTTTGTTGCACTCGATTGACAATGTTTTCTGTAACGTTTTCGAGAAAGCCACTTCTATCACTGTTTTCAGACGGGATTTGTGAAAGAAACACATATTCCACGCAAAGGATGTAGTTCATTCAAATGTATTATGTAAAAAGTATGTACTTAAATTTAATCCAATTAAAATGCCTAACCCACTTACTTGTCAATTAGTGTAGCATAATTTTTCAGCACACTTTCGCAAACGTTATTACTTTACTTTTACTACAACGAAAGGCAAGGTGATATCGCGCAACTCGCCGATTTGCATTTTTAGAAAGAACATTCAACTGGCGCAATCACATCCATAAAAGACACACTTTCTTCCCTTAGCACCTGTACTATGAAAATGGGAGAGGAATTTTAAAATTGTAATGGAACATACCTTCAAACAGCCCAGACTGCACTGTCAAAAGATCGACCCTCGTTGAAAGTTTGCGAATTAAATTAATTAAAATTTTTATGAAAGCTAGTAAAAAATTCCGGGAATCCAGAAGTTTTATTATAAGTAAGAGTTAAGAGTAATAAAAACAGGACGTGAAATATTAAATATTATTCTCGGAAACACGGCGAATAACACGGATAACATCTTCCTTTAAATTAAGATATTAAAGTCCGACGGTTATGAAAATGTTACCACTTCATAACGTATCACTTTTAAAGATGTATATTTTTGCAGAAGAATACTTTTGTAGACAGATGCTATCTAGTGGAAAGCTAACGTTCACTAGGCATCACAGGTACCTGATTTAACAAGGCCCTGTAATTTTGAAATCAATTCGATAGGTCGGTCAGTTATTAATCTTCTCACAAATCCAACAAGCCTTATATCACGAGTACTTGACTACGATTTGAATACTCATACAACATATATGTATTTGTATTTTAGTACAGTATACTAGTTCTGTGGGAATAATTACAGTTTCGTGAAAAGAAGATCAAATTAAAATTTCAACCAACATTGTTCTTGCTGTAGATGTGAATTTACACAGAGCCTAGAATAGAGTTCACCACTAGCAGAATTTTAGGAAGATATACATGCAGCGGCCGGTATTGCTAAACGATGCTTACGCCTATCTTAGCAACAGAAAATAACAGTTTGGCAATGTTGTCACGCATAAGCACGGATTTATTTTGTACACGTTTCTTTATCAATGCCTATTTTTTGTGTTACTATATTTGCTTACTTAAATGTATGATGTAGGTATTGATAACAAAATGTTATAAAGAATGAAGGAATACCTGTGTAGTCAACTTCAGACGATCTGATATTCTGCAGGGGTGCACAGTTAGATTATTTAATCATAATTTCGTTAATTAGCTACTATTTTGATTTTTTGGTATTGAAAAAATGCAGAAAATACAGTGATCCAAAATTTATCCAAAAAAGAATTTGTATGTACAGGGAACTCTTACAAATAGAACTTTGTAAAAAAAAAACAAATCAAAAAAGGTCAGTTCAAAAACGATTTAAAAATATACTTCTGCACGGAACTGGAAACTGGTCCACTCTAAAATCTGACCTTACAAAGGCGAAGTGTAATAAAAAACGGACAAAAATTTTGCAAGAAAAGAAATAAATAGAATTTTGTAACACCTATTTTTATATAAGCAAATTCAACTGCTTCTGCCGCTGTTATTATTATTATTAATTAATAAAATTAATTTGTGGTTTTACTTAAGACATACCTGATGACCAATGTGTGGAAACACATTTAGACCGGTCATACACAGTTTCTACGAACAAATACAAATGTTGTTTTACTTTACTAACTACTAAAAAACTATTGTAAATACTATCGCAATGACGATAATACTAATTGTAAAATCGAATTTCAATATTCGGAGTAGATGGGGCCACGTGGCTCCCCACGCGAATTGCGTAGAGCGCACAACGTAACTCCAGAGATTACAGTTGTCCAGTGATGTAATGGTGGAAAGTATTACAACTTCAATAATATTTTCTCGAAAACTATAAGGATTTTACTAATTATTTTTTACGATATTGACTCGATTTTCCATGCTACATCTATTCCCAAATTTTGAATGATAGTGTATATTTCCAAATAAACAAATTCATAATGATACTTTAAATAAAAAAGCAATATAATTTTTTTTTAATATTTGATGTCATAATTTTTATACATTTATTTATTATACAAGGTGAATTATTATTAGTACGTCGCCAAATGTAGGTACAGGGTTTTTGTTTGTATTTTGACACTCACTTACAGCTTTAACCGTTAAAGATAGAAAAAAACTTTAAATACAAATGTTGGAGGATTTTTCCTATGTTATCTTTTGAGATTATCAAAATTTTAAAAATAACGTTAAAAATTTGAAAACCAAATACAACACACTTTTTTAAATGAAACACCCCGTATATTATTCATTTATAGGAAACATCTTTTTTCCTTATTAAAATATAATTTTTGAATTCTCCCATTCCAAGGTGATTAATAATTAATTAGGTAAATTCGTATTTTTAATTTTAACTTGATTTTATTTAGCAGTTAACACATTTTCAAACAAAATATAAGTTTCATATAACTCTTCAATTACATAGTTAAATGCATTAAATTAACATACAGGGTGGTACCGTGGTAATAGTCCAAAATTCATGGGTACATTCCCGAATCAAAAATATTGAGATTTAGCCGAACTTACCTTAGTCCAAAGGTTAAAGAGATATAGTGTGTTAAATGTAAAATATTATTTTAGTTTTTTTTTCATTTATTCCTCAACAAATGCAAATATCCTCACAAAATTGGAGTTTGAGGTTCTTTAAGTAAAGGAATTGAAATCTGTTCACATTTTGGAGAAAGTTCATAGAGGGCGCTAGCTGCAGTAGATTGAATGTGTTAAAAACGTCATAACTTTATTATACTTTGGTATCTCATTTTTGGTATCAAATTTTTATTTTCCAACTTTTTTCCACAAAAAAGGTACACTTTATGAAAGTAGCTGTCTAGCGTCGTTTTCGAGAGGCTTTCAAACTTCCAATGCTGTTGAATTTTATTTATACTTTAAAATAAGACAAATAAATGTATTTAAGTTAGACGTGGACATTTTGAGCAATTATTGCCAAAAAGGCATATTTTTTACTAATGTTTACTATTTCACTGCTCCTCACAATTTTCAATTCTAAATAAACCTTTGTTTTTATCATTTCTAAATTATTTTAATTATTTCAACTACATATTAGCTTTGGAAGTTTCAAACCAAATAACTCGAAAACGGTGCGAGACAGCTACTTTCATAAAGCATACCTTTTTTGTGTAAAAAAGTTGGAAAATAAGAATTTGATACCAAATACGAGATACATTAAAGTACAAAAAAGTTATGTCGTTTTCAACATATCCAATCTACGGCAGCTAGTGCCCTCTATGAACTATAACCAAAATGTGACAAATTTCAATTTCTCTACCCAAAGAACCCCAAACCCCAAAATGTTTTGTGGATATTTGCATTTATTAAGAAATAAATGAAAAAAAAACTAAAATAATATTTTACATTTAACACCTTGTATCTTCTTAACTATCAGTTTTTGGATTAAGGCAAGTTCGGTTAAATCACAATATTTTTGCTTGAATCTACCGGTGAATTTTGGCCCATTACCTCGAGACCACCCTGTATATGAGTGCCTAGTCAATATTTGGCAACACTGCCACCTTCGGAACCGCTAGAACGCCATCTATTACCGAGTAGAAGAGTTACTACGTCAGATTTTATTGTTGGATGCCAGCTCAGAAGCCATCCTTTTCGGGTTGCCAATTTCCAGCATTTAACGCGCGGTCTGGTGCGTTAACCATATTATCTGTGGCCTTCATAAATGTTTACAAGCCACGTAACCACCGAGCTTGCCTGTTCCATAAGAAAATGTTGAGATGGTCTGAATAAATAAAAATATATTGGCATAAAAATTATAAACGTCGCACACAAAAACAAGCCTATTCAGAGTCGGCCTATAGCGCCGCAGTCATGTTTCCGTTTTGGGTGCTTTATTTCGACGGCGGGGCCACGGGTCCAATGCTCCCCGTCAGATTATTATGATACATGGATCAGGGCCATTGTGTTACACGAAAAAATACAGAAAGCCCGCCGCCCATACATCACGCGGAGTAATGAGGCATAAGTTTACATTTTAGATACAGCTTTTATTCCGCTCAACACTACTGGTGAAATGAAAAAAACCCGGCTCGGGATAAGACGGGGATTTGCGAAATCGTTTGTTTGCCCATAGGGGAATATACATCACTTATTATGATTAAACACGGAGAAAAGAACGACGTCCACATAAGTCTCGTAATAGTTAGGAAGAATCACAATAAAACAAACCGGCAAAAAAAGTTGGTACATATGAGAAATTGAAGGTACAATTTTTGAGCAATTCACGTAATTTCCTCAAAAACAAAGTTCTTGGAAATTCTTCTATTTTGATTGGATATTATATGTTTGTACAGGGGTAATGTTTGTACAGGGAAGTATAAACGTTCAATGTTTGGTCACGGCCGCTGGGCGCAGGAGTGGTTCGATCGGAGTGATTTTGGTGTCGTGACAATGGGGAGGAAAATAGTAAACTTCTACATTTTGACTATTTTTGTAAGACTCTGATGATGTTTAAATACGGTCTAAGTGAAGTTAGCGTGTAAACTAAGTTTTCCAAGGCACGTACTATGCGGGGCGGCAAATCAATAGTGTTTTCAAAAATTTTTTAATTTCAGATTTGTTTTGTGAATCTCAAGGTAAGTGGTGGAAATTTATACAGGGCAGTATCTTTTGTCATTTGATCGCTTATTAAGATTTTACTTTAACTATATATATAAAGTATCATTAATGTTGTAGATTCGAGAGGCCCAGACGGTTTGTGCAATATTTCAAGATAATTCAATGCTGTGTAATGAAGAAAATGAGAAAGTTATACAACATTTTGTTCATTGCATCGAAACCCATGGGAGGCACGTGCAATATTTAAAGTTTCTTCAAACTATAGTTAAAGCTGAAAATCAGTTTATAAGAAAAAGCCAGGATTTGGTTATGCAAGAAGTAAGTACTCTTTGTTTATTTGGATCGAATATAAATACCTTGCATTTGCCATGGTAAAAACATTTTGATTTGTAGTTAATTAATGCAGGAGAAGACGTGCTCGTGTTTTATAACGATAAGGCTTCGTTTAATCACTTCATAGAAATGATGCGTTCTGAGAGGCATTGTATGGATGAAGGTAGCCCTTTGAAGTATCACGTGGAGTTGGTAAAATTATTAGCTTGTTGTACAATGGGAAAAAATGTGTACACTGAAATCAAATGTCACAGTTTATTACCGTTAGACGATATCGTTGCCATGGTGACTCATCCGGATTGTATTCCTGAAGTCAAGGAGGCGTATGTCGGCTTTTTGAACCACTGTTACATCGATACAGAAGTAGAAATGAAGGAGATCTACACTTCGAGTCACATGTGGACTTTATTTGAAAAATCGTTTTTAGTCGACATGGCCGACATAGCAACCGCACCAACAGACAGAAAACATCCAGACAGGGCACTAGAAAATTATGTTACTAATTGTGTAATGAATATTATTATTACATTTTTTAATAGCCCCTTTTCTGATCAGAGCACTACAGTTCAGGTATGTTTTTTCTCTGGTGATTTTCCAGTTTCCTCCACCTTAACATTGCATGTGCTTCAATTTCATCCTTGTGCTTTCTTTTCTTGAGTAACCTGTCAAAATGGGTAGATGTTAGTGCAAAGTAATTCACGAAATAACGTAGTTGAACTTTCGAGCTATCAATCTTGTAACTTGCTTTTATGGTGTCTTTTTTGTGTATCTTTTCCATTAGAAACATCTGCATGAAGCCAGGGTGTACTGGAGCGACTCTACCATGGATGACTATGATCCGTTCTCAGTTAATATACAACTCAAACAATCTCCATTTTCCACTAATGTAAGTAGATCGCTGATCTCGAAAAATGTTTAACCACATTCGAAACTTATTAAAACCATTTGTTTTATTTTACTTTTTTTTTTTTAGAAATTTTCTCAATATGAATCTAGTTGGTTAGAATATGTATTATGTGTATAAATTTGAGAACAAAGTGCTGAACATTTTGCTACATTTGCTCCCATGTGTATTACGACATAGTTATAAATTTTCTTTACGTATGAGAGATGTCTTTAATGCTAAAAGGCCATATAAACAAATGCTAAAACCTGACCGTTTCATTTGTAAATTTTAAGAAAAACCGTCGGATATCTTTTTCAAATACTAAACGCTATGAAATGCCTTGTTTTTCAATTTATTTAATACTGATTTTTTAACTTATCTCAAATCCGAAGCTTATACAGGATGTAACTTTAAATGGGAGTCACACTTATACGGGGGGCTACCTTTGCCCTTTAGAATTTAGAAATTATATTAAAAAGTATCTAATCTATCAGATTAATAAGTATTTTATAAGTAGTTTACTTTTTATTATGTACATTTTATAAAAAAGCAAAAATATCAATTTCAAAACTTAATTTAGTTTTACTTACAATGTCTATCCATATACGAATATTAGTTAATATTTAATAAAAATTGTTTCTTAAATATGGTCGCCTTAAAATAACATGTCCCAAATTAGTACAAAAGCAAAGAACAAATTGCTTATTTGGTTTAAAAAATATTAATTACATTAAAAATAATTAATTAATTAAATCAAGTAATAATTTGGTGTTCGTTACTTCTGAAATAACTGACTCACTTAAAGTTACATCGTGTACATGTGTAGATGTAGACGTAGATATATATTATAGATATTCTAAAACCAATCGAATTATATTTTTTCTCAAACATTCCTTCAGGTTTATTTAAATGAAAACAAAGTACACAACCACCTTTTACATAACACACATGGGTTGAGCTTTTCGTCAGCTGTTATAATAATGCTTATCTAACTCATATTGCATTATTGTATGGAACTTTAAACAATGGTAAGCTTTCTNTATAATATAATCGTGCATATAAACAACTCAATTTATTAAGATGAACAACAAGAATTATGACTAAGACTGTCAGAGAGAGCCGCGTGCCAAGCGAGTCAACCGACACATGCATTTGCCGCTGCCTCAGAATGCTTTTTTAATTTGTTGCTATTTAATAAATAATGCGTACGCCTATGACGCGCGGCTTAGTTCTGACAGCCCTAATTATGACCAACACAAATACCACCAACACATTTTAGATGGATCTAATTATAGGATACTGTGAGCTTGATTAATTTTTATGAATAATTAACTCAACACAATCTTACAAGTTAAAGTATATGTATAACACTATCATTGTAAAAATTTCAACTTGCGTAATTATGTACGAACTACTTAATAATTCACAGCAGTGAAAAATCTCTACCGGCATGCTAAACACCATATTTACCTAATTCTATATAAAATACACAGCGATCTGATTATTAATATAAGCCACATTAGACCTGACAACTTTATATACTCCTACAAGACACGAGAAATACTCATATACAATAGTGGCGCCCCATAATATAATAATAATTCAGGTTTCTGAATAGCTTACAAAGTACCCTTAATCAAACCTGTAATCTAACGATAAATTGCATTGGTATAAATAGAATTATGGGGATCATTATCTCAAAGGTCAGGCATATTAAAAGATATATCACGGCTGGTTGGCTTTACTCAAATTTTTAGTATCTCGCAAGACTGGAATAGTAGCATTTTTATCGGTACACCGATGCAACTAAGCTTTTTCAGAAATCATTAGTCAAACAGGCGTAAATTTTAAAATTTATGTTTCATACTCAATCTCCTGAAGTTTATCAAATTGAAACAATGTTATTCAGAAAGAAGAGCAAGTATAAACAATTTTTAAATTCATTTATGAATTTTGTAAGTCTTTATGTTATATAGGAAGTGTTTTTCGGATTGAAACTACGAAGCCGTCTCCAACAGTACTATTGCCCCTAAAAAAACCTAGCCCCTCCTGAGAAAACAATCGAATCTCAAAACGGCGGAAAAAATTTGCTATAGTCTGTTTAGAAATGAGAGAGAGTAATAAAAGCTTATTATGTATGCAAATCGTAAATAAATGTAGTACTAGTGCTTATATTCAATATTTTTATATTATGTATTATCGGTATAGGATAAGGTCTACTTTTAACAAAACTTTGTGCGATCGGACTGTACTAAATTGTAGCAGGTAGCTAAAATTTAATTCCCGACAATCCGTCCTTGTCTATGCCGCTTCAATTTCTCGGTCCATTTCTCTTATAAGTAAACAATATAAAAACAGCATTTCAAAACATGAGGCTACTTTAAGCATCATAACCGGGTTAAGAGGGTTTTTAGTAATTCAAATAAAATTATTCAATATTATTATCAAAATATTTATTTAAATTTAATGAATAGACTTTTATTCCACAGAAAAATATATGTATTTTGAAAATTCAAATTATGGTGAGTAAATGTAGTGTTGTATAAATGTACAATAAAGAAAATAAAAAGGTAGGTATATTAAAATTCATCCTCTGAATATTCTGATGAATTATCTTCGTCTCCTAGATTGATAACGATAGGTTCCACAGTAACGTCAATTAAATTATCGAGTTCCCACATTTTCTCCTCTTCTTTTTGTACATGATGTATACATCCTTGCCAGTTATCTGCAGTTACTCGTTCCAAGGAATTTTTTAACAAAATTTTCACGTCACTTAATTTAGACGTCGTATTATTTCGCGCTACATCTCCTTTTACCTGCGCCCAGACTAATTCGATTGGGTTAAGTTCACAGTGATAAGGTGGTAACCGTAGTACCGTTATTTGGCGATTTGTTGCCATTTCATCGATAACATATTTTTTCTGATCTTTATTAAGATTGACAAGTGTCAAAAGTTCCTTTTTCACCATATTTGTTTCAAAAGAAATGTTTTTTCCGGATAACCATTGAATTATATCGGCTTTCCTCCAAGCAGTCGTAGGCGTCCGCTCGGTCTGCCGTGAATGGTAACTGGCATTATCCATGACAATTACAGACCCCGGAAGAATAAGATCCAACATCTGTGTAAAATACTTTTCGAAAACATCTGCGTTCATGTCTTCGTGATAGTCATCTGTATTTTTAGATTCAAATAAAAGTAAACCGCCATCTACAAAACCACTGGCACTACCTATATGTGTCACTATTAATCTTCGCCCTTTACCTGAAGGTGCCTTGAACCCTGTTGAAAGTCCATCCAAAAATGCTTGTCGAAAACTTTTTACATTTTTATCTTGCCATACTTTTGTTACAGTATATCCTTCGTTGACCCAAGTTTCGTCTAGATAATAAATATTCCTCCCTTCGTCACGGAATTTTTTAATTGATCTTAAGTAGGATCTTCGCCAACAAATAATTTCATCTTTATCGATAAGAACTGACTTCCTGTTCTGCTTTTCCCAGCAAAAATTCAACTCTCGTATGACGGCCCACAATTTGCTTCTACTGATTTTGGGCAAATCGTTGTCCTCTGAAAGTTCACTTAAAATTTTGTTTAGCGTTGGTATTTCTTTTTTAAAATAAAATGAGTGTACTTTTCTGCGAATGACATATTTGAAGAAATCATCTATAACAACTTTTGACATTCCTGTAGATGATTTTGGGGGATTTACAGCATCTTGTTCATTTTTTGTTTCCTTTAAAAGTCTGTAGATAGTCGATTATTACCTGAAACGAAATATTACCACGCCCATGGCTGGTTCTTATCTCGGGGTTTTATTACTCTCATTTCCAAACAGACTATAGTTGAATGATATCTTTTGGTAGTCTTTTTTTGGTTTGTATCTTTGAATAAAAAGTTTTATTTCTCTCATAACTTTTTTCTACGTTAACACCCCGCATAACGTAATGCAATTATTTTGTAACTCGCGAAGCCTTCCTCATTCGCTTGCACCAGCCTATATTGGAACAAATCTAGGATGGTTCGGGAGCGCGCACATCAATTCCGCTGCATCCAGATACACATAATAGTGAATAAATGAATAAAATTATAGTAAATACAGAAATGTATTAAACTGAATTTAACCAATCCGGAAACATTGGGAATGCTTCCAATAATGTAGATGGCTCCGGGTGTATTTACCATGCAAATTTAAAATTGCTGGCTGGGCTGTTTTTTATGTTCCCAGATAAACAAAAAAAATATATACTGGCGCTGGCAAATCCAGTACTACTCCAATTCATTTAATTTATAAAGCCTTTCCGGTCTAATTTTTCTAGTGAGCGAAATTAAACTACAATTTCGGTAGTATCTAACGGAGCATGATAAAAACAAAGCAATACAGTTAAATTTCGAATCCTACAAACAGAAAAGTATTCGGAGTGTTCTCATTTTTTATTTCGGTAACTTTCAAAACGGATAAAACTATGAAAAATAATGCGAGTTTGTTTAATAAACTACGTTTTCGAGATACAAGATGCCAAATTTGAACGTTTTTTATTGACTCTTATTTTTAAATATCAATTTGTTATTACTTATAACTATAATGAAGAGACTCGGTCCCAACTTAGCACCTTGAGGAACTACTGATAAGTAAGACTGACTTCAAATAAATTTAAACAAGAAAACTTGAAAAGTTATAAAATGTATTTAAAAAACACACCTAACTAGCTTTTCCCGCCAATTACCAATGTATGGTAATTACAAGAAAAACTATACGCTTTTCCGACTCGACGACGTTTCGAGTCAATAATTCCGCAGCGAATGAAGGATAATACCTAGAATTCCCGGTTATTCTAGCCGCCAATTCGGTCCTATGATGGGACTGACTTTTCTTTGTTTTCATTACCGACAGCATTACGTTCATTACCGAATTCATCAAGTCCCTCGTCTCGTCCGGACGATCTAACGCGCGAGGTCAGGGGGACGCGACGTAAAAACAAGCGACGCATGACATTACGGGAAGGTCTCTAGATCTGCAGCGTTAATGATTACAAAAAGCGGCTGGATGCGGAGAACAAAGGGAACGTGGTCAAAAGTTCAAAAGGAGGCGGTTGGGGCACAGTTAGATGAAACAAGCTCGTGCGGCGATCCCGCG